AAACACTTCAGTTTAGACAGGAGCCAGCACTAGGATTACTAGAGCTAAAGGCATGGAGAGGGGTAGGCCAGGAGAGCAGAAAAAGAATTTCAAAAGGAATTTACCTAAAAAGAGAAACAACAGGATCTCTCCCCTTGACTAATCCTAGACTCTATAATTCAATTTTTAAATATTCAGGGAAAGAAGGAAAGAACACAAACAAGGAAGCAACCTTGAAAGGAGGGCAGAAGATCATACATGTGAAAATTCATCTTTTGATACCACAGAGACTCCTGTTTGCAGGGGCCTTATGAGAACAATGACAGGAAAAACTCCTCTTGCTGCTATCAAAAATGAAGGACACTAGAGAACAAGGAGACCAGCATCATTCCCAAGAACAAGAACAGACATAATCCTCTATGAGAAGCAAGAAATAAACACAAAAGTCATGGGCTGAAGACCACACCAGGGGCTGAGCTTAGGCTGGCCTGGTGTTGGAGCAGGCCCCAAATGGCCATAATTAGGCTCACTCACCTAGGCTTCTGGCAAGCTATGTCGTGCTTTTAGTGTGCGACCAAAATCATGAATCATCTATGCTATGGTCAGTGTAACCAAAGTCAGAAACACTCTGATTCAACATATATATTCAAAGTCATACACATTCTGCTTGTGAGCACACACCCACTTATGTGACTTGTTGGCAGTGTGCCTTCTTTTGTTGGCCTGCATATAAAAAGAGCCAAAGGAAAAGACTTGGGGGCTAAATGGAACTAACCAGGGCTAAACTAACGGGGGTAAAATGGAACTGGCTGGGGGCTAAAGCTGAAGCTAGAGGCTGTTGTCACCTCTGAATAAAGCATGTCTACTATCCTAACTGCTTCTTGCATCTTCTTCCACCTTTTGGGACACTGAATCTGTTTCCTAGTTCTGAGCCCCTACCCAACAACCTGGCCACAGAAAGCCCTTGCTACCCATGGTCCTGGCAATTCCTGTATCCCTGTGATCACAGATTGTAGAAGTTTTACCAGAGGGGCAAAGAGAAAGGAGCAGGGACGATGACCAAAGTCCAGCATGGACTGAGCACTGACTGGGCACAGTCCCAATCACTCTCTGCTCCTCACAGTCTTCTGTCCCCATCTGCAACAGACTCAGCACAGCAAAAACAGACTGTGGATGGTTCTCAGTGCTCTAATTTATTTCCTTCCTCAAATTTCAGGCATCTTTTTCTTTCATTAAGCAATCAACCCCTCATTTCAAATAACCCCAACTGTTTAAAAATCAATTTTATATTTAGATTCTTATTTTCTGTACAGAAATAAAAACTTGAAGATCAGTGTACTTGAGTCGGTGATGGAGTCCTCTAAGTCATACCTTTGTTGGAACAGGAAAGTTGACTGTGGAAAAGAACATAGGTCAGTATTGGGATGGGGTCCTGGTGGGTAGGGGTGCTCTGGTCTCCCCACCTTCTCACATTATGCCAACAAGGACACAGACACATTTAGACACTTTGCAGGAAGAGAATCCAGGAGTTCTTAGAGCCACAAAGAGGAGGCTTGAACAAATCTTCTTTCAGTCCCAAACAAAGCAGCTGTCTCAGACTACAGAACAAAATAATCAAGAACAAATTCAGGTCAAGCGCTATTAGTGGCAACAGCTGAACAAAGCTTCACTCACTCAAAAGGGTCAAATTCAGAAAGTCCTGGAACCCAGTTTGGTCTTCTCTGTCCCATCCCCTCTCCAACATCAGGCCCTGCAGAGTCTCACCTTTATGCCGTGAGAGACGCATCAGAGCCCTGGAAACTGTCCCTCCCTGGAACAGAAAAACAACTAGATATATTCAGAGGGCAAAAGAGAACTGGCTGAAGGAAGAATTATGGGATGGGTGATATTCCCCATGGACTTCTGCCTATGCAATCCTAAGGATCATCCCTTTCGCCATACTTATATGGAGCCCGAGTGTAGCTCCTCCCTTCTTTTCTACCTGTGAGAGGTCAGCAAGGAGGAGGGCCATGAAGGCCCTTTAGGAAGCCCCTAGTACTAACACTCAAAGGATGTTCCAGAACATGACTTCAGACCCAGGAAATGACTAGGAGGCATGGGGAAAGGAGATTACAGGCACTGAACCAACTGCTCTCCCAGAGGTTTGCCTTCAGCAGAGACCTTCCCTTCTGGCCTCTGACTGCTAGGAATCAGGCCCCCATCACAAAGATCATCAGGGTGCAAAATCTGTCTTTTATTTTTCATGTGCTTTATGATAGGATGTCAGCAAACAGCCCCAGGCTGTATAAACATGTATGTGTGGGTGGTATTTCCTATTAATGAGGCAGGACACACTTCTACCTGGGGCCTGAAATAAGAAAATTCAGACTCATCTCCTCCTCTACCTGCTTCTTCCTCCACTTCATCACAACAACCACCACAACTCCGATGTCCACAGCTACAAAAAGAACCAGAACCAGGACAACAATGATTCCCTTGATGGAGACGGAGGGCTGAGGAGGTGGCTCTGTGAAGCCAACAGAGGGGAAGGTGAGGAGCTCTGACCCCCAGCTTTCAGCCCTGACCTACGAAGAGGCTCCAGAATGGCTCCTGCTTTTCATGAAAATAAGCTCTGTGCCCTCATCCCCTCCTTACCCCATCTCAGGGAGGGGTTCGGGCAACCCCTCATGCTGCACAAGATATGTGAATTTCTGCCCCCATCCTGAAGGCACCACCACAGCTGCCCACTTCTGGAAGCTTCCATCTCCTGCAGGCCTGGTCTCTACAGGCCCCATGTCCTGGGTCTGATCCTCCCCATCCTGCTGCCAGATCAGAGTGATATCCTTAGGGCAGAAACCCAGGGCCCAGCACTTCAGGGTGACAGCTCCTTCAGGGTTAGGGTGTGAGTCACATGTGTCTTTGGGGACCTGGGAAGAAGAATGACAAATTTTAGGTACTCTGAATTCTCTGTGGGTCACTCCAGCATCACTCAAGTGTCCAACCTGAGAATGAATAGGACAACTGGTATAGGGGAATGCCAAACCCCAACACTAAACAATACCTGCTCTGCTAAATCTGTATTTCCTGACCACCACTTGAAGCTGCATGTAGCCACATGCCTGTTACCACCAAATGAACATGAACAGAAGTGAAGTATCAACTTAACATTTCATAACTTACGAGGATAAACTACTTGTAAGTGCTACTACTTCCCATGCTGCTGTGCCTGAGTTTCAACTTGACCATGCAGATGAAGATAAAGAACCACAAAATGGAAGGAGCTACATCCTTAAATAACTGTGTGGAGTTGAACTTGCTTCCCATGTGAGACTTAAATAAGCCACAGTCTAAACCACAATATTTTGGGACCCCACGTTATAATTGCTTTGCCTGTGTGTTAACTGCAACAATAGACTTCTGAAGAAGCTGTTGAAAATTGATTTGATAAAACAGTTCTTATACCAACTCTTTGCTGGAATTTACTGTGTTTTGAATAGTAAAAGATATACTTATAAGCCAAATACAAACAAACCACAACAACAAACCCCCACATGCTAGCCTACACACAGGCAAAAGGAATAATCTATTTCTTAGAAAGTTGTAGAATCAAGGCAGGAAGCTCCAGGTATTTGAGGGATTGTAAAGGGTCCTGACTGGGTGGAAGAGGCTGAAAGACTCAGAATCACTGCAATCAGATCTCCAAAGACATTGGGTGTAGCACAGAGAACAAGGCCTGAGAGAGGTCATGATTCACAATCTGTTCCCAGAATCAAAGGGAACCGCTGATCGGTTATTTCAGGAATCTACTCTCTTTTTCACAGTCACAGATTCCCAATTGTCCTGAGAGAAGAAAAAGTGGGCCCTGAGGTGAGTCATTCTCTGCTACTGGATCTGAAAACCCAGGAGCATTCTATTTCCCCCCTGTTAGATAAAGAGACAGTATTCTAGCTAGGATCTCATTTTCCTCCCCTCCTGAGGAGACGCCCCACCCCACAGATGGGGAAATTGCCTTGTGGCAGCTCGTACCTTTGCATCACAGTGTCTCCTTCCCATTCTCCAAGCTTCTCTGGAGCGACTCCACGCACTTGCCCTCCAGGTAGGCTTACCTTAGCTCTGCTGCATGCACCTTGGAAATTAGCATTACTCAGTTAGGTTGAATAAAATATGCTTTTGAATGGTACAATCCTAGTCTTTATCTTTTTAAAAAATATTTTTATTTAATTGTAGATGGACACAATGACTTTATTTTATTTTATTGATTTATTTTTATGTGGTGCTGAGGATTGTACCCAGTGCCTCACACATGCTAGTTGAATGCTCTACCACTGAGCCAAGCCCCAGCCCCCTATTCCCGATTTTATGTTCGAGATTTTTCTTGCCTGTGTGTACAGGGACATGTGCACTAATGTTTATGGCAGAGTGGAATCAACCACTTTTACTTCCACAGGAAAGTACCACATGGTGGTATAATCATCAAAAGTAAAACTTCTGCGATAAAGGGAATGACAGACAGCCTTGCAGAGGAGGGATAAGGCTTCTACATGTTATGTGCATCACAGAAACACACATGCAGCAGGAGGTCACTGCACAGGAAGGTTATAAACAGGCAGAATGAATTAACATTTGATTGGGGATGATACAAATATTGTAAAATTCTTTAAAGAAATGGAAGGGAACAGTTAACCCAAGACTCAGAATGGAGTTTCTATTTGGGGGATGAGACAAGGCAGCAGCTCAGGAGACTGCATAGTTTCTGTTTCTTGTGCCTGTGGTTAGCACCCAGGTATTTACTTGATCTCATCTCCTTAAACTGGCATTTTCAAACTACAATTTGTGAACAATTCCTGATTAATTTTTCCATGAAAGGTAACAAAGCAACAAAGTTTATTGCAAGAATTGTTAGCAAGAATTATTCACGTTGGAATAAATCCACCACTGTATAGAATTGCTTTATAAAACATTAGAAGCACATCCTAATGGGGTTTTTGTTTTAGAATTATACTGGTGTCCAAATAGCCTCTACCATATTTCATTCAAAAACATAGTGAAGGACATTTAATTCATTATAGGAAGCCGACCAAATAGCCAGTTTAAAAAAAAAAAAAAAAAACATTAGTCTCTGGATGCAAGCTAACAATTTCTGACTACCAACATTGTCATAATGATAGACTGAAGTATACACTTTAGACAATTCAGTTTTCTTTTTTTAATTGATTTTATTACTTTTTAAATACATGACAACAGTGGGACAATTCACAGTTTTCTAACTGAAAAGCAATCTGTGTGTATTTTTGAAGATGACTTTTGAGTATAAAAATTGGCATGCTTAACAAAGTAAATGTGAAACTTCCTAGGAAAAACAAAGACACTTATCATTTAAAGGAACTATTGTGATTGTACTGAAGTCTTGGGTCTATGTCATCGCCTACCATACACCACTCTCAATAATATTGCAACTTATTGAAACGGAAGTTTTTTTTTTTTTTATTGAGAATTCACTTTAATGGTGAATAACACAATCATGATTTCAGATTTTTAAAATTTCTCAAAATTTATTTTATGACAGAGTATAGTCTATCCCTATTAATTTTCTACTTGTCATTTTTGTGTGTGTGGTTCTCTATAAGTAACAAATAACAAACAGGTCAAGGTAGCTGGTAATGTTGTTAAGCCTTCTATATTATTATTCCTTCCAGCAAAGTGAGGGGGCTTAAAATCTCCAAATATGATTGTGGATTTGTCTTTATAGTTTTATTAATTTCTACTTCATGTATTTTGGAATTTTATTATTAGGTACATACATGTTTAGGATTGTTATACTTTCTTGAAGAAGTCACCTTATTATGGTTATGAAGTGTTCCCCTTTATCTCTGAAAACACTTTTTCTTGACATTTATTTTATATTAATAGCTCTATTTCAGATTTCTTGTGCTTATTTTACCCTTCTTTTGCTTTTAACCTATTGGTGTATTAATATTTAAAGGATGACATATGAATAGAGCATATAGTTATTGTTTGCTTTTACACAGGTTGAACAATTATTACTCTTAATTACAACATCTGTATCATTTATATTTAGATTAATTATTGATATTGTTGGAGAAAAAAAGAACCCCTGCATGAAGATTAGTGAAAAATTGGGTAAATGATAGTTTTGATGTAATATTGTGGAAAATGGGTTGAATAGTCCTGCTATAGAGAGAAGATTGTTGGAAGGTTTTGTTTAAACTCTTCATTCTCTCATCTATCATATGGTACACAGCAACAGATTTATTTTAGTGTTTGTTAAAGTTTTTATTTTGCCAGTAAAAAATAATATATACACATATACATAAAGCCATTGGAGATATTTTGTAAACAAGTACGTATATTGCAAATGTTAAAATAATAATAATAATAAAGGAATATCTTAAAAAGAAAACAATAAAATATTCCAAGCCTTGGGCACATCATCCTTCCCTGGAAAGACAGCTTATTTGTATTAGGCCACAAAGCCATACAAGACAGTACAAATAAGGGCTGGGATTGTGACGCAGAGGAAAAGCGCTCACTTAGCATGAGTGAGGCTCTGAATTTGATCCTCAGCACCATATAAAAATTAAATAAGGGTATTGTGTCCACCTACAACTAAAGAATAAATTTTTTTAAAGAAAGAACTAATAAAATCATTCCCAGTACCTAGGCAAATAAAAAGTTCTTCAGATTGCTTGATGAGAAGATATTGCTACATTTAATTCCAGTTTTCCTGGTTTCTGGGTGGACTAGAAATCTACATCCCATTGAAACCACAACATTATTGCTCAGGCAAAAACAGATTCTGCTTCGATGTCACCTGTCCATAGTTTACAAAGGGTCTAACAGCTGGAAGGTAACTGACTTTTTTTCAATGAAATCTCCCAAAGCAACACCAAAACTAAAGTTTCAGTGGTTGAGTGCATGGCTCCAGGGCAGAAACATCACGAGGAAGGACATGGCAGAGGAAAACTTCTCCCCTCATGGCATCCAGAAAGCAGAGAGTGAGGAGCCAGGGCCAAAATGTAATCCCCAAGGACACACCACCACTGGCCTACTTTCTCTAGTCAAGCACTACCCAGTGATTCACTCAAATTATTAATTCATCCAATGGATTTATCCACTGTTGAGATTATGTAATAATTTAATCATTTCACTTCTGAACATTCCTATATTGGATATCACGTTTCCAGTACATGAGTTTCTCAGGGGACATTTCAGATCCAAACCATAACCGTGAAATTGTCTTTTCTTTTCTTTATCATTCATTTCTAGTAGTTAGAACATTGGAAACTGTGCTTGTAGTAGTCAGGGTTCTACAGAGAATCAGAACTAACAGGATATGTATCTACATGTATTTCTGTCTATCTGTTGAAAGAGATCCCTTAAGAAATTGTCATATGCAATTTTGGAGGCAATGACTTGAAAATATTCAAGGTAGACTAGCAGGATGGAAGCTCAGGAAGAGCTGATGTTACACTTCAGTCCAAA